CCCCGTCCACCTTCCCCCGCATCCCAGAGCCCCGTCCACCTCTCCCCTGGAGCCCAGAGCCCCGTCCACCTCCCCCCCTCCCGGAGCCCAGAGCCCCGTCCACCTCCCCTCCACATCCCAGAGCCCCGTCCACCTCTCCCCCGGAGCCCAGAACCCCGTCCACCTCCCCCCGCATCCCAGAGCCCCGTCCACCTCCCCCCGCATCCCAGAGCCCCATCCACCTCTCCCCCGGAGCCCAGAGCCCCATCCACCCACCCCCCCCAGCCCAGAGCCCCGTCCACCTCCCTCCCGGACCCCAGAGCCCTGTCCACCTTCCCCCCAGAGCCTGGGACCCGGCCCATCCCCCCACAACCCCAGAGCCCTGTCCACCTCCCACCGGGAAGTACAAGTTGCAAGTCCCTGCGAAGGTTTGGGGACCCCCCCGCCCCACAAATCCCATATTCCCTCATGGAAAGGTGTTCCCTGATCCTTTGAGGTCCCACAGGCCTTGTCTCCTCTGTCTAGGGCCTCTGAACACCGGGGCTGGGATGCAGATTCCAGAGATACTCGGGTCCCTGGGGTCCTGCCAGCCCACCCAGGTGGTCCCTCAGGGTCCCCAGCGCCAACACTCTTCTGGGTCTGGGGTACCAGAGGGAGGTGGGCCAGGGTGCAGAGTCGGGAAGGGAGGTGGGCTCTGGGATCCAAGTGGGAGGTGGGCGGGGCTCTGGGATCTGTGGGGATTCGCCGGGGGTCCAGGTGGGGCAGGAGGTGCCCCGCCTGGAGCTCCGTGTGGGAGGTGGACAGGGCTCTGGGGGGATGGCCCCGGGTCCTGGGCTCCAGGTGGGAGGTAGACAGGGCTCTGGGGTCCAGGGGGTGTTGGGCCGGGGGTCCCGCACTCCATAAGTTAACTCCACGTTTGTCCTTGTGGTGAGAACTTTAGGACTTTCTGCAACCCTTTCAAACAGAGCACAGGGCGTCATACGCTATGGTCCCAGGAGTCACTGAGGCTACAGCTGGAGGTTTATACTTTTGGCCACTTTCCTCCAGTTCTTCCCTCCACCCTCCCGGCTTCTGCTGACCACTAACCTGTTCTCTGTACCTACGCAGGGGTTTTTAGATGCCACGTATAAGTGTTTGTCTTTGACCGATCTCATTTAGCTTAAGGCCCTCGAGGTCCACCCGTGTGGCTGCAAATGGCAAGATTTCCTTCTTTCTTGGTTGCTGAGTGCACCATCACGTGAACACACTGCAGCTCTTCTTGTGCTCCTCCGCCCTGGGTGCACCCTTAGGCGGGTCCGCGTCTCCGCTCTGTAAGTAGCGCTGCAGTGAATGTGGGGGCGCCGACACCTCTTTGAGCTCCAGATTATGTTTCCTCTGAAGGCACATTCCAAAGTGCAGTCACTGGGTCGTAGAGTAGCTGCATTTGTAACTTTCTGAGGACTCTCCGTGCTGCTCTCCAGAGTGGCTGCTGCACTTTGCCTTCCCAGCCGCAGTGTGAGAGGGTCCCCTTTCTCGCATCGTGGCCAACACTTGCTATTTTTTGCCTGTTTGATGGTTGCCATTCCAAGGGCTGTGAGGTGGTCTCCAGCCGTGGTTTGGATTTGCATTTCCCTGGTGATGAGTGACCAGCCCTCTGTGTGTCATCTGTGGAAGAATTCCTGTTCAGATCCTCTGCCCGTCTTTTAATTAGCTTGGTGTTTTGCTGTGGAGCTGTGTACGTTCTCCATCCATTCTGGGCATGAACCCCTTTCAGATGCGTGACTCGCAGGCACCATTTCCTGGTCCCCAGGCTTCCTCCTCGTGCCTGTGGGTTTCTCTCTTGTGCAGAAGCCTTTGGGTTTGATGTGTCCCCCTTGTGGATTTTCACTTTTGTTCCCTGTGCTTTAGGTTTCCTGTCCAAAACTTTATCACCAAGACCCATACTGAGAAGCTCTTTACCTATGTTTTCTTCTAGGAGCTTATGGTTTCAGGTAAAAGTGAAGGTTCTTGATACATTTCTTATGTTACTTGGATTGGTTTAGGCCATGATTATTTATTTTTTCTTTTTTACATTTAAAGTGGATGTGGATTCCCCCTTTGAAATGAGAAGTCAAGTGTCTGTTATAGTTAACAAGAACTTGCTTGAAATAAGGAAAGGAAACTCATTTCCCACTAGGCAGAATGTGGAGAGCAGTAAATAGCGCATCTCAGCGGCTTCCTTTATAGGAGAACACTGTGGGGGCGCCTCCCTGCGTCCTGCACCCCGCTGAGTGCTGACTTCTACCTATGAGTTTTAAAAACAGATCATCACAGGCTAAAATGCTTAATTTCTAACAAGTCAGATGTTCGTCTCCAAAGTGAACATTGAAACATCCGGAGTGCTCAGGCCGTTCTTCCGCACGCTGGAGGCAGGAGCAAAGAGCCGGCCCAGCCCAGGCGGCGGGCCTGGGTCTCCGCAGCTGGCTGCCGGCCCGGGCGCCCTGCCCTGTCGCCCTGCCCTGTCGCACCGGGCTCCTTCCCGCACCGCACAGCGCTCTTTCCCTTCAAACCCTTCTCGCCTCCCGGTGTGCTTGGGGCCCTCCAAGCCGACACATCAGCGCTCCCCTCTGCCAGGAAGCAGCTCATCTGCGCGCACCCGCTCAACGTGACGGAACCCTCGCAGCTCACCGGGTTGAGACAGTCTGAGGTCCTCAGCTGCGGACCTTCTTCTCCAGACACGGCCTCCTTTGGCCATCGGACCGGTGATAGACCTGTCTGAGTGAGGTTTTACGACATCGCGGCGGGAGGGGTGGATTAGTCTCAGAAGCCTACAACCGAAGTAGGAAACAAAATAGTGCTTTTCTGAGTCCTTTCAACCCGCTCATGGAGGAGCTTGTCTCTGGGACAACACTTGTGTTTTCGGAAACACCTATGGGGGCGATTGTAATTGGAAAGACGGTAAGCACTGACAACTTGTGGAAGCCCCCCGTTTGTGTGGCGGGCGGAGAAGGCCGTGGCTGCTGCAGACCCGCCCCACAGTTCTGCTCTCTCACTGCCCAGCCCCCTTCAGAGACCCGGGGTCGCCTGCAGAACTCTCACTTCACGCTTGCTCACACAGCGAATGTTCCGGAGTCTGCTGGCTGTGCGTGGCACCTCGTTTGGGCCCCAGAAACGCAGCAGGGAGTGGGACACTTTCGTTCTAGGCAGGTTCCAGGCTCTTCCTTTGGGCCAGGGTCACGGTTGCGGCCGAGCCACATCCGAGGAGAACGTGCACTCTGGCCCGGACCAGGAAGGTGTGATGGGGTGGGCTGGCCGGCGGTCCGCAGCCACGACTCAAGGGCGTTCCCTGAGGGCAGCGTGCTTCCGCTAGGTTGTGAATCCTCCCGAAGCCCAGTTTTCCCCCAAGATGGTTTGTAGCGAAACTGGGGGATTCATGGGGAGGACATTTGGCCTTTGCAGCCATACGATTTGAGTAAGAAGCAAAATGTTTGTTTTTAATGTGCTGTTTTGTGTGGGGACGTGTGTGAAGGGTACTAGGCGGTGTCTCCCGGGCCAGATTGCAGGCCTCTGGGGGTCACAGGCCCACCTGAGACAAACAGCTCTCTGTAACTGAGCCGAGGCCCCCAGGTTGTGAGTGGGGGTTCAGGTGGCTTCCTTCGCGCCAGGGGAGACCAGGTGACTCTCCAACTCGTAATCACATGCCGAACGGGGTGCGGACCGGCTGGTTGCGGGGTGCCGGGTGGGAGGCAGCAGTCCAACGGCTGGGAACAGAGCCGGCCTCCAGGCGGATTGGGCGGTAGCTGCCGGGGTGGGTGTGGGAGGCTCTGGGGACGCAGCGGGGTGCGGGCTGTCTGTCCCCATCTCACGGTGCTGGCCTCAGTAGCTGCACAGCGAACTCTTCACACAGTGACTGGGCGTGGTGCCCCGTCCCCCGACCTGACAGGTGCTTCCTGGCTTTCCAGACAGCGGCCTTGAGCGGAGCACCGTGGTCCAGCTGCTCAGCCGTTCTGGGAGAACCTGACCGTGTACTTCTCCGCGGGCCGGCTCAGCTATTGGGCCCTGAGCCGCACGGGAGCTCTTCACACGGGGACGCCGTCTCCGAGCCGGGGCACCTGCTCCTCCCCACCGCCCTGCAGCGTGCCTCGGACGCTGCATCCCTCACCCTCCGCCCTGTATCTCCGAGCTGAGTGGCAGGTGGAGAGGATTAAGCGAATTGGTTGAAGTCAAGAACAGGGCAGAACGCCTGTGCCCCGGCTCCTCTCTCTCACCCAGCATCCCCCACTCTTGGGGCCAGTTAACCTGAGGATTTCTCATCCAGGGGCAGTGGTCATCTCAGCCTCTCATGCCACCAGGATTATGCGAGTGGCCGGGCCTTCCCGCCTCCATGCACGTGCACGTCCCTGGGATGATGAGCCCAGTCCTAACCTGTGTGCACCTGCCCCGCCGCCTGGGCCCCTCAGGCACACGCCCGGTGGGGAAAGTGTGTGTAATGCATGCTGTCCAGCTGCTTCTGGATGAGGCTTTGCTCCTGCCACGTCTGGTCTTCCCAGGGGGCACCTCTCCTGCAAGCGTGTGACCAGCCGAGGCTTTGCTGCCACAAGACCCTTATCTTCCAGGGACTCTCACTGAACAAGAGCTGAACCGCAGGTGGCCTCAGTCCCAGCTGGCCCAGCCTTCTTCCTCTTCCCCGTGTCCTTGCATCTGAGAGAGGGCTGGCCGGTGCCAGGTGGGCTCTTGGAGCCCAGCTTCATCCTTGTGCCTATGAGGCTTCTGCAGTAGAAATAGCCTGGCTTTACTTACTCATCTAAGCTGCCCAGGCAGAGGCTGGAACAGCACCCCTACCCCAATGTTCCAGCTCCCGTGATGGTGTGCACCCCCCATCATACACAGCGGCCCCCCAGCTTGTCACCACCAGGTTCCTGTCCGAATTCTTCTACCAGGCAGGCTTCCTGTGCTCAGAAAGCGTTTCCTGAATGAATGAGCCAGGGAACAGACAGACAGATGGCTCCGTGCCGTCGGTGAATGCCAGTCCCCGCTGCCCAAAGCAGCCATGTTGGGGTAGGACCTGTGAGCTGGTATACATTTCCAGCACTGGGGTAGGGGGTTGTTTGCCTCCATAAAAGACAAATCTGAAAATGGACAGGGTCATTGTGGGAAGGGGCAGGTCCAGCTTGTGGTTTGGGTTTTGTGGGTGGGTGGAGACAACAGGGAGTAAGGCAGCAGCCCTGGGGGACAGAAGTTTTCTGAGAAAACTGCATGTGGGGACTGACCCTGGAGTCTAGAGATGCCTGGTGGGTGGTTACAGACCGCCGTCTTTGGGATTTGACACAAGTCAGGTTGGGGTACGTGGATAGAGCGGATTCTATCCCCTCAGACCAGTTGCCACTGTTCCAAGGGAGGTGGGCCTCCTCTATCCCCTGTAACCCTTAGTTGTCTCGTCTGTAGGCTGGGGGCCGCCCTGGGTTCTTTCACGATGTGGTGAGTCAGGTGCAGCTGCAGGAGGGCACGGAGCAGGGGCTCCGGAAAACCACGGTCAGCATGCTCGTGGGTCCTAGAGAGGAAGGCACGCCAGGCCACCCCCATGCTGGGCCCCGCCGGGGGAAGCGCTAGGTCCGGAGGCAGGGGACGACTGAGACCATGACCTTCGATGGGGTTTCCATGGGATGGGCAGGCAGGACAGGGTGAATGACTCGGGACTGGCTGCTCGGAACAGTTTCTGTGGCTTCGGGCGATGGGGTGGCAGCCTGGGATGATCTAGGCAGAGGAACGCTGCTCCTGGTGCGGACGGTGGGGAGGCTGGGCCGAGGGTGCTGCGCCTGGTGCGGTGAGGGTGGGGGAGGCCGGGCTCGGGGGTCCGTACCCTGCTTCGCTGTTCCCTAGGAGTGGGCTGGGCTGGGCGGGCAGCGTCCCCAGCCGGCAAGCTTGGACCTGGGTTTTTCCCCTGAGTACAGTGTAGAAAATGTGTGTTTCTTTCCTTGTGATTTTCTTAGTGGCGTTTCTTTTCTGTGGTTTCCGTTGGGAGAATATACGACGCGCGACGCAGCACACACACAGCGCGCTGGCGCCTTGTTGGTGTTACCGGTCAGGCTTCTGGCCGGCAGTGGGCTGTGGCGAAGTTGGGGTCAGAAGTACACGGGGATTTTCCGCTGCACAGGGGTCCGTGCCCAAACCCTGCGTTGCTCGGGGCAGCTGCACACTGAAGACCAAGGGCAGGTGGCTTGTGGTCATGTTGGCACGTCCAGATGATTCGGGCGGGAGAGGGGCGAAGTGCGAGGTCCGAGGTCACAGCCCAGCTGACAGGGACAGAGTGGCCAGGCCAGCAGCGTGGGAACACGTCGTGCAGCGGAGGCCCCAGCGTGTCTGGCTTAGGGGCTGGAGAGCAGGCCGTAGCACCCAGCCTCCAAGACACAGTAGCAGGAGGCCTGGTCCCTAAGCGGAGGTGGGTTTCATTCAGGACAGCGAGGAGCAGGCATCTCCTCGTCTGTGTCCTCCCGGAGCCCTCCCAAAGCAGGGGGTCTGCTGAGCCACTCCTGCGGGTGACCCGGCTGCCACTCTTGCCTTGCGTGCTGTGGGTGGAATCTGGGATCTGGTGGGTGAAAAAGCCAACGCGCATGAAACTGCACAAAGTAAAAGTACTGGACTAGACATGCTCGGTTATCCTGTATATGCAGGATAGTAAAGCAAGTTTCTGCAGGGCCTGGGAGCCTCATGGGCTGCGCTCGGGTCCCTCGGTGTGCTCGGTGAGGCCAGGAGATGCAGAGCCAGCTGGCCCGTGTCCCTGCTGTGTCCCTGGTGGGAACAGTTGTGGCTGGGACAGCTCTTCTGACAGCTGATGCAGTAAGTCAAGTTAGAAAATCTGCAAGGAGATATTGTGGACAAAGTTTGGAATTTTTTTTAATGTGAGAGTTTGGGGAGAAAATGAATATTCAGTGTCTACATAACCCTTAGTTGGGAGAGCACATGAGACTGGTCAGGGAGTAAGTTCCTTTTGTGGCCCCTTTGAGCGCCATTTCTGGCTTTATTTTGAACACTGCTACCCTCTTTTTTTTTTTTATTATTTTTTTAAAAGATTTTATTTATTTGTTTGACAGAGATCGCAAGTAGGCAGAGAGGCAGGCAGAGACAGAGAGGAGGAAGCAGGCTCTCTGCTGGGCAGAGGGCCCGATGCGGGGCTCGAACCCAGGACCCTGGGATCATGATCTGAGCCGAAGGCAAAGGCTTTAACCTACTGAGCCACCCAGGTGCCCCATTTTTAAAAATTATTTTTATTAACATATAATGTATTATTAGTCCCAGGGGTAGAGGTCTGTGAATCGTCAGGCTTATATACTGAACAGCACTCACCATATCACATACCCTCCCCAATGTCCATAACCCAGCCACCCTCTCCCTGACCCCCTCCCCTGCAGCAACTGTCAGTTTGCTTTGTGAGATTAAGAGTCTCTTATGATTTGTCTCCCTCTCGATCCCATCTTGTTTCATTTTTCCTTCCCTACCCCCGGAACCCCCCACCCTGCCTCTCCAATTCCTCATATCAGAGACATTATATGATAATTGTCTTTCTCTGATTGACTTACTTCGCTCAGCATAATACCCTCTAGTTCCATCCACATCATTGCAAATGGTAAGGTTTCATTTCTTTTGATGACTGCATAGTATTCCATTGTGTGTATGCATATATATATATATATATATATATACATATATATATATATATACATATATATATATATATACCACATCTTCTTTATCCATTCGTCTGTTGATGAACATCTAAGTTCTTTCCATAGTTTGGCTATTGTGAACATTGGTGTTATAAACATTTGGGTGCCTGTGCCCCTTTGGATCACTACGTTTGTATCTTTAGGGTAAATACCCAGTAGTGCGGTTGCTGGGTCATAGGGTAGCTCTATTTTTGACTTTCTGAGGAACCTCCATGCTATTTTCAAGAGCAGCTGCACCAGCTTACATTCCCACCAACAGTGTAGGAGGGTTCCCCTTTCTCTGCATCCTCGTCAACATCTGTCGTTTCTTGACTTGTTAATTTTAGCCATTCTGACTGGTGTGAGGTGGGATCTCACTGTGGTTTTGATTTGTTTTTCCCTGATGCTGAGTGATGTGGAGCACTTTTTCTTGTGTCTGTTGGCCATCTGGATGTCTTCTTTGCAGAAATGTCTGTTCATGTCTTCTGCCCATTTCTTGATTTGATTCGTTGTTCTTTGGGTGTTGAGTTTGAGAAGTTCTTTATAGATTTTGGATACTAGCCATTTATCTGATATGTCGATTGCAAATATTGTCTCCTATTCTGTCAGTTTCTTTTGGTTTTGTTGACTGTTTCCTTTGCTGTGTAAAAGCTTTTGATCTTGATGAAGTCCCTATAGTTGATTTTTGCCCTTGCTTCCCTTGCCTTTGGCAATGTTCCTAGGAAGAAGTTGCTGCGGCTGAGGTCGAAGAGGTTGCTGCCTGTGTTCTCCTCAAGAATTTGGGTGGATTCCTGTCTCACATTGAGGCCTTTCATCCATTTTGAGTCTATTTTTGTGTGTGGTGTAAGGAAATGGTCCAGTTTCATTCTTCTGCATGTGGCTGTCCAATTTTCCTAACACCATTTGTTGAATAGACTGTCTTTTTACCATTGGACATTCTTTCCTGCTTTGTTGAAGATTAGTTGACCATAGAGTTGAGGGTCTATTTCTGGGCTCTCTATTCTGTTCCATTGATCTGTGTGTCTGTTTTTGTGCCAGTACCATACTGTCTTGATGATGACAGCTTTGTAATAGAGCTTGAAGTCTGGAATTGTGATGCCACCAACTTTGGCTTTCTTTTTCAATATTCCTCTGGCTACTCAGGGTCTTTTGTGGTTCCATATAAATTTTAGGATTATTTGTTCCATATCAAAAATTGATGGTATTTTGATAGGGATTGCATTAAACGTGTAGATTGCTTTTGGTAGCATACACATTTTCACAATATTTGCCCTTCCAACCCATAGCATGGAATGTTTTTCCATTTCTTTGTGTCTTCCTCAATTTTTTTCATGAGTACTTTATAGTTTGCTGAGTACAGATTCTTTGCCTCTTTGGTTAGGTTTATTCCTACATATCTTATGGTTTTGGGTACCATTGTAAATGGGATTGACACCTTAATTTCTCTTTCTTCTGTCTTGGTGTACAGAAATGCAACTGATTTCTGTAAATTGATTTTATATCCTGATACTTTACTGAATTCCTGTATGAGTTCTAGCAGTTTTGGGGTGGAGTCTTTTGGGTTTTCCACATAAAGTATCATATCATCTGCAAAGAGTGAGAGTTTGAGTTCTTCTTTGCCAATTTGGATGCCTTTAATTTCTTTTTGTTGTCTGATTGCTGAGGCTAGGACTTCTAGTACTATGTTGAATAGCAGTGGTGAAAGTGGACATCCCTGCCATGTTCCTGACCTTAGGGGAAAAAAATTTCAGTTTTTCCCCATTGAGAATGATATTTGCTGTGGGGTTTTCATAGACGGCTTTGATGATATTGAGGTATGTACCCTCTATCCCTACACTGTGAAGAGTTTTGATCAAGAAAGGATGCTGTGCTTTGTCAAATGCTTTTTCAGCATCTATTGAGAGTATCATATGGTTCTTGTTCTTTCTTTTATTAATGTATTTTATCACATTGATTGATTTGTGGTAGTTAAACCAGCCTTGCAGCCCAGGAATAAATCCCACTTGGTCGTGGAGAATAATCCTTTTAATGTACTGTTGAATCCTATTGGCTAGTATTTTGGTGAGAATTTTTGCATCCATGTTCATCAACAATATTATTCTGTAATTCTTCTTTTGGATGGAATCTTTGTCTGGTTTTGGGATCAAGGTAATGCTGGCCTCATAAAATGAGTTTGGAAGTTTTCCTTCCATTTCTATTTTCTGGAACAGTTTCAGGAGAATAGGTATTAATTCTTCTTTAAATGTTTGGTGTTTATATGTCTCTAGGAATGCTTCCATTTCTTCCACATTGTCTAATTTGCTGGCATATAGTTGCTCATAATATGTTGTTATAATTGTTCGTATTTCTTTGGTGTTGGTTGTGATCTCTCCTCTTTCATTCATGATTTTATTAATTTGTGTCTTTTCTCTTTTCTTTTTGATAAGTCTGGCCAGGGGTTTATCAATCTTATTAATTCTTTCAAAGAACCAGATCCTAGTTTCATTGATCTGTTCTACTATTCTTTTGGTTTCTATTTCATTGATTTCTGCTCTGATCTTTAGGATTTCTCTTTTCCTGCTGGGTTTAGGCTTTTTTTGCTGTTCTTTCTCCAGCTCCTTTAGGTGTAGGGTTAGGTTGTGTACTTGAGACCTTTCTTGCTTCGTGAGAAAGGCTTGTATCGCTATATACTTTCCTCTCAGGACCGCCTTTGCTGTGTCCCACAGATTTTTGAACAGTTGTGTTTTCATTTTCATTTGTTTCCATGAATTTTTTCAATTCTTCTTTAATATCCTGGTTGACCCATTCGTTCTTTAGTAGGATGCTCTTTAGTTTCCATGTACTTGAGTTCTTTCCAACTTT